ATTAACTATGTCAAGGATGCAAATGCTGGTGAAGCGAATTTCACCAACTATGGCCAATCATTCAATGAAGGTACCGATGTATTCACTACTTACGGCAAAGGGGGTAATGACCCGCATATTAATTTTAAGACTTACGGAGTTAACAACACTTTCAAAGATTATGTCAAAGATACTGCTACATTTTCCAATTACCTAAACGAAACTTCCCAGGTTTTAGCTTCGTCGAGTGAGGTTAACGGTGGCAAAAAGGTGAATAACCGGTGGGTTGAGCCAGGAAAGTTTTTCCGGGAGAAGATGCTGAAGAGTGGTACAATCATGCCTATGCCAGATATAAAGGATAAGATGCCTAAAAGGTCATTTTTGCCCCGGACGATTGCTGCAAAATTACCCTTTTCTTACTCAAAAATTGATGAGCTGAACAAAATTTTTCATGCCGCCAATGATTCTCAGGTGGCAAAGATGATCGGAAATGCTTTGAGCGAGTGTGAAAGAGCACCGAGCGCTGGCGAGATGAAACAATGTGTTAACTCAGCTGAAGATATGATTGATTTCACAACATCAGTATTGGGTCGAAATGTGGTGGTTCGAACGACTGAGAATACAAAAGGATCAAACGGTAATATCATGATAGGATCGGTCAAAGGAATCAACGGTGGAAAAGTTACCAAATCAGTATCCTGTCATCAAACCTTGTACCCTTCCTTACTGTATTACTGTCACTCGGTCCCTAAAGTCCGTGTCTACCAAGCGGATATTTTGGACCCAAATTCAAAGGCTAAAATCAACCATGGTGTTGCCATTTGCCATGTGGATACTTCTTCATGGGGACCTAGTCATGGGGCCTTCATTGCACTCGGGTCAGGACCGGGGAAAATTGAGGTTTGCCACTGGATCTTTGAAAACGATATGACTTGGACAACTGCTGATTAAGCCCGTGGTAAAACGGGATTTTAATAAATATTTAAATTTTCTTGTTTGGGTTTAACAAAATGTGTTAGAACTGTCAATTTATAATTGTTATGTAATCATTCTAATGCAATCTCTATATTTGGGTAAAGTAATGTCGTCCCCTAAGTAACTATGTTCACTTTTATTTGTCCATAAAGGATTTTACACTTTATATAAGAAATAATTAATAAAATAAGTAACATGCATATTTTATTATAATACACATATTAATTGGTGTATATAAAGTCTAAACCAACTCAAATATACATTTAATTTGATTTAATATTATCCATTTTAAATCAAGGGTGTGTTTGGTATGAAAAATGTTTTCCAATTTTCTCATGTTTGGTTGGGTTAAATGTTTTTCAAATCAACTCATTTTCCTCAAATCTAAAGAAAATGACTTCCCTTAAAATATTAAGGAAAACATTTTCCAAAATTCTTCTCCAACTTCAAATTACAATTTATTTTTTAAAAAAATCAATTTTTTTGTTGAAAAAAAATTAATATAAAGCTTTTTTTAAAAAATAATATATTTTCAATTTATAATTTTTTCACCCCATCC